GCATTGGGTGTTCATGTGTATAAAGTATTTGCAAAGCTTCTTCAGAATGAAAATATGCTTAATAGCAGGTGTGGACAGCCCCAGATTACCCTAAGGGCCCAGGACTATAAAGAGGTGATCCTGGCCCCAAATATTCCCTCTTCAAAGCGCCAGGAGGGCCAGACTGGCAGCCACCAGGAATAAGACAGTGCCCACTGGTGCAGCCAATCCTGCACCTAGAGAACCACCAGCACACCAGCAGAGACAGGCACCTGTCTAAGACTCTGAGAAGTGTTCATACTTGGGGCCAAGGATGTTTAGTAGGTGGGGCCGGGGAAGCAAACACCCAACCTGACAGGTAGACAAAAACAACTTCACATTCATCCAGTCATATTCACACAATCCCACCCTTACACCCATAATCAAATATACAAGCAGTCAACGCAGCAGGAGCACGCACTAAACATATTCTTACACTCCACATACATACACCATCCTCCCAGTTCTGGGGGCCAATCCCAGGCCCACCCAATCATCCCCAGACCCCCCAGTTTGGGAAGCAGGCATTCAAAAATTAAAAAAGTTGGGCAAGGATCAGGTGCCACCATATGGAGGACAGCATCAGTGTAGCCCAGGACTAACCCCAAACCAAGGGCGTAGGTTTGATCTTAACTTTGGTAGGGACACTATTGGTTTTAAGTTGAATTGGTCTGATGTCATTGGTCCTACTCATTATGCATGCTCCTGATTTTTTAATGCTCGATGTGAGCATCAGGGCACATTTCATTTAAAGAGAAAACAGCATTTTTTTCTACATTTATATAAATGTTATAAGCACTACACACACAATATGCTGTTTATCAATGTTTGAAGCATCAGTGGCTCAGAATAATCTAAAATTGGGACAACTTAACACTTTGAAAAGGGTTACATTTGAACTTACCAGTGACTAAGACAGAAGGTAAATACATGCCTTTTTAACCAAATACAGTCTAAATATGTCTGTTGTTTATGTATTTATCGGGTTTTTTTCTTTTGCAGAAATAGAATTGTGCAGCAGCAAACAGAGGTAAAACCCACTCATTTAAAAAAAATATATTTATCTAATATGCTGATATTCTCTGTATTGTAAAACAAAGCAAAATAACATATTCAAGGGACTGCAAATAGATGTATTGTATTACGGGAACTATAAGAAAAACTGACACTGAGCATTGAAAATATTAACTTAGATATACAAGTTGTGAGAAAAGAAGCACCTGCTGCAACATCACTGCATTGTAAGTTATAAACATGTTATTCACATAGAATTATTGGTAGGGACAAGTAGGTCGGGCCAAAAGTTTGATAGGGACATGTCCCTATGGTCCCTATGCAAACCTACGTCCATGCCCCAAACCAAACCCCAGGGGGGACAAGAGGTTGGAAAGGTGTGGACTTATAAAGTATTGTTAACGGTGTAGGAGAATCCCTGCCCTAAATTAAAATTTAAATTATGTATTTTATTTGATAGTAAGCTGTAAATTCTAATAAAATTTCTGTCTTAGTTATTTATGTATTGTATGTCAGGTCATTAATGTCTATTAATTTTAACTGGTATTCTGTCTAGAGCCAGTCCTATTTCTTACCACTTATTATAATATTAAAAGTAAGGTGTTGCTTGGCAACCCTGTTTGCTACATACTTTTGGTTGCTGTGATTATAAATACTGGATGGGAACAAATGTCTGACAGAAAAGAAACCTTTATCCGCTGTTATGTGTGAAGAAGTGCCTGCCAAATTAAGATGATAACATCAAGTTGCTTTGTTATGTTTTTTTTGTTGATTCTGCTAAAATATTGCTTTTGTTTTGCATACAGTCATAGGAAAAACTGATTAAAGCCTTTTAAAAGTAAAGTTTTCTTATTGTGGGAGAAAAGTAGCAGCCCTCCATGTGATTATAGGTGGATATACAAACAAAAAAACTTTGGGTTCCTCATAAGTTAGGCTATAGAAAAATTCAGGCAGTTTATATGTTTAACGCAACAAAACAGGAAAACTTAGAAGCAAGCGGAAACTGTCCAAGCTAAATGGATAGTTTGTATATTTTTAGACAGATAAAATGCTGTAATGAAGATAATTTAAATGATATAAAAACAACTGCACTCAGAAGCTATAGAGCTGGTTTAGTTGCCAACATTTCTGAAGCGTAAAAAACTCACTTTTTTCACTGCAGTTCTGAAAGCGTTTTGCACGTCGTTTGCATTCAATGTATTGACGATACCTGGTCTGACTAGGGTTATCCGTGTTTCATCAGTTTCCAGTCTTTCCTCCACACAGACTCCTCTTAAACTTTCTTTGTGTGCACTTGTGTTAACCAAGCTTTTCCTTTACAATGTTCAATAGCAGGTTTGGGGGGCATGAAACTGTAGCCTGGGTGCCATTCCGAACTTAGTCCCGCCCACAACGTTTGAGGTCGGGAAGTTCGGTCTGGCATTGCTCAATATTAGCGCGAGTATGCTCGCACAATATCTGGCGGGCCAATCAAATTGTCAGGGCGGGCTTTATACGATGATGGACAGATGATCAACAGTAACGTAATCAACCACGTCACCAAAGCACACTTGGGTGACAACGGTTGAGGTTGAGGTGAGTAGATTCTGCTATTAGGTCTGTTCTAGAAGATATCGACAGCAAATTAATTTTAAAAGAGGAACAGAGAAACGCGATCAAGGCTCATCTTCTTATTCTAGGCGTGTAACTGCACGCTTTGATTTTTGTTGACAACAACTATGCCTCGCTTAGCATACGTCACGCACTCTGTTGCTCTTATTGGTTGTAGGTCCATCCAATTGAGTGCAGAGGCATTTTTTTTCCTTGTTCGTTCAAAACACGCCCCATAATCACAGCTCTATGGAGCAGTATCAGACTCATATTCTCACTAGAATTGAGTAGGACTACATCAGGCTAATGAAACTGTCCCCTGGAACACAAAGCAGACACTTGGCAAAGCTAGTTTATTTATATAGCATATCTAAGTAGCGCGACAATTTAAAGTGGTGTACATTTAAAAAAATGAGGTAAATCTTAGTGACAGAATTAATTTAATAAAATTAAGGAGGTTAAGAGCCCTGGGAGGAGGAATGCTGCATAGTTTTAAAATGAGAAATAGTCAAAGTAGATGAGAAATCTGAAAATAGATTGGTCTTCCGTGCATCCAAATAACCATTTTAATCAACCCAGAAATTCTATAAAAAAGTGTGCCAACTTTCCCCTTGGCTCCCTTCTGGTTAGTTCTATACACACCTGCTCCATATTAGCTAATAACCCCATTCTTTGTTCTGTTCCCCCTAAAGGCACCACCACTACAGTTCCTGATATATGGTTGTTTTGTTGCTTTGTCTTCTTTGTCTTCTCCTTGCTCCTTGCTTGTGTTCACCCTGATGTTAAATGGATTTTCGGTTTTCAGTATTTCGGATTTTTGCCTTTGTTGCCTTGGACTTTTTGTTAAATCACAAAACACAAACTCTGCCTCCTCATCTCTGCTTTTGGGTCCTGAAAACCCTCTACCAAATCGTGACAGATATATTTGATTAGGGCATTTCATAGCGTATATTTTTTAAAGGATCCCTGCAAAATTGATACAAAGAAATACTTTGAATATGATCAACTAACATGATCAACTTTCAGCACATATACCAACATAAACCCCTTTCAGTTCTGACCTGATGAATGGTGCAATTAGAAAAGTCCTGAGGCTGTAGGACAACTTTTATTGTCACTTTGTACACACAGAGTGTATACAAAACAACACTTTCGATTTGTACAGCTTTCAGACAGTGTGGATCTATCTATTCCATTATGTGACATTTGAAAATATGGTCATGTCATTTAAAATTAGCCTTCTAACTCAATTCATACAATGGCCAAGTCAGCATACATCAAAAGGTAGGCATTTTACTATGACATATAAGACAGAGAGGAGTAAGGGCTACACAGTTTGTGATAAGCCTCACTAAGATGCACACTATCCTGAATGTGAAGGCAATGAGCAGAGACATTCATGTAAAATGTATTATCCGGTCCAAATTCAAGATAACAAGATTATATATACGTAGCTATTTATAACTAGATTTCCATTCAGTTATAAATACATTCCTTTAGCCCCTGATCTAAGGTTAGCTGAACATCAGAAAGACAGAAGAAATAATCACTGAATTCAGAGAGTTAAGGTACTTAAAGCGCTTTTGTTCATTCGTGGTTAAATTTGACTAACCTTAGAACTCTTAATTAAGTCAAAACTGATTTTTGAAAGATTTTAGAAGCTAAAAACCAAAATAATTTTCATACCATGACAAGTAAAACCCTCCAAAGGTCTCTTATGTTTTTTTGTTTTTTTAACTGTGTGTTTCATGTGTGTGTGTGTGATGGAGAAATGTGTTAAACATTATTTGCATGTAAAATGTTAAGGTCTAAATATACATGTGTACATGTATTTAGAAAATAATTATCTAACACCTTTCAGCACACATAACCTCACCTTTAGTTTGCTGTTTGTCTTTACCCGAAAGCTTTTAAATAACCTAGCACCTTTTATTTCCTGCTTCCAGCCATATGACCTATGCCCATAATGCAATGAAGACATGCAGGTTATCTGTCATAGAAGTCGGATTAAAGGAATCCACTTTTCCCATAAACATCCATCAATATCACCCCAATAACTGACTTATTTAGATGTGAAATTGCATGTAGATTATAACACAATGTATATATGCTAGCTGCTGAATAATTAAACAAAACAAAGTCATAGTTTAATATAAAGTTTCCAGCTGTTTTTTTTTTCTATACAAGAAAATCTTCTTCAAGACCTGGCAGATAGCCTAAAGCAGGTGTGGAGGTTTCTCCCATTGGATCAAATACTTTCTTGTCTTCTTTTAAGTTACTGAATGTAATGAAGGTCTTCATTACTTGGTGGTACAACACTTAAAATGTGTTAAATGATAAAAGAAATGCATGATGAAGGAAATGAACCGGATACAAACTGATTGAAATGGTTTATTAATGGTGGTTTCGGTGGCATCTCAGCTGGAACTGATTATGTCCTGTTAAAATACAACAAAGGGATGATATAAGTATTGATTGTTTAAAATGTTTGAAGGCTTGTATGGGTGTGGCTTACCTCTCTCTTCCTCTGCAGGGTGTTCAGGCTAAAAGATTCCCCGGGGGCCTGAGTACCTTTTAAAGGTTCCGGAAGAGACCAAAGCAGACGGAAGGGGGGGAGCAGAGAGTTAGACATTTTATAAACTTAATGTTGGATTTGTATTTATAATGATAAAGATGTGTTTGTAGAGATGCTGAAAATGACTAGCATTGGCAATATATATTTTGAGGATTTTTGGTAGTTTGTCAAACCTTGTTTGTGTGTATGTATTTTGTTTTACCCTGTTTCTTGGTGGGTTTGTGTATTGGAACAGCCAACAGCTATAAAAGGCTGCATGTTGGCCATATTGAGTCGTTGCTGCTGAGACCCTAGGCCAAAATGAGCAGAGTTTGTTTTGTTTGTTAAATGTTGGTGAATAAACACCCAGTTGGGGCTGCACAGTTTCTCTGCCTCAAGTCTCCTACCTCCTCCAACCGCTAAAGGCCATTCTAACAAGTGGTGTCAGAAGCTGGGGCCGGAGTCACAAAGTGGAGTTGAGGATGACAAAAGACAGAGAAAGGAGGAAACAAGACCAACAGGAGGATCCTGATGATGGAGCAAAGTCATCTGATGACCAGGTGGGCGCGGCATCCAGCAACCCTGACAAGATTGAGGAGCTTGCAGATTTGGTGAAATCCCTCATTCAGTCTCAATCAATGAGGGACCAACAGCTGGCAAAAGAAGCTTCCCGTCAAGAGCATAGATGGAAGAGTATGCAGCATCAGTTTCACCAAATACAGCAGCAAGTGAATGATCTGACACAGGATTCTGGTGGTGACCGGCTGCAGTCTGGAGCAGCACAGCCTCAAGATGACATGGATGATCCAGAAGAAGGGTCAAGTCAACAGTCTGTTTGGCCTGAGAGGGACTTCAGCATGCACAGAGAACCTAGGCTACATCCTCTATTGCCTAATGATGACATTGAACATTTTTTGACTACTTTTGAAAGAATGGCCAAAGTCTGTCGATGGCCAAAGGAGGAATGGGCTATCCAGCTAGTTCCCCTATTGACGGGCAAGGCACGAAGTGCTTATGTCTTGATGGATCTTGCAGACTCAGATGACTATGACAGAGTGAAGGCGGCCATATTGCAAAAGTATGAAATTACAGCTGAAACCTATCGGCGACGTTTCCGTTCCTTGGACATTCTTCCTGGAGAGACTCCACAAGAGCTGTATGTGCGCCTCAAAGAAATGTTTTTCAAGTGGGTTAAACCAGACAAGGCAACAGTGGAGGAGATTTCAGAGACAATGATTCTGGAACAGTTCCTAAGAATGGTTAACCCTGAACTGGAGGTGTGGCTTCGTGAGCATGACCCAAAGACAGCAGAGAAGGCGGCACAACTGGCTGAGGTCTTCACGGCAGCTAGACGAGGGACGAAACACAGTACTTTTGGCCGGGACTCCAACTTTGCCCACAAAAGTAAGTCCAATGGGGATGACCGGGGTGGTGGTCAGTTGGAGAACAGGACATTTTCTAGTGGTAGGCAACTTTCTGCTAAGTTCAAACCTGATTCTGCTAAGAATCCCCCTTTTCGTTCTGTCAAGCGAGATATAAGATGCTTTTTATGTAATGGTCTGGGCCACACTCAGTATTTCTGCCCTCTTACTAATAAGTCTAAGCCATCACTGTTTTGCACTGTCCCCAGACCCACTACCTATGTCTTTCATGATGTTGCTCATACTGCACCAGTTTTGATTAATGGGCAGCGTGAAACAGCCTTGCTAGATACAGGAGGATTTCAGACTGTGGTTATGTCTTCCTTAATACCTAGAGAAAAGTGGTCTGAGGAGAAATGTCACATAAGCTGCATACATGGGGATAAGCATGAATATCCAATGGCTGACATATATCTAACTGTGGGAGGACACACATTTTTTATGGCGGTAGCTCTTGCAGCAAAGCTGCCTTATGCTGTTATTTTGAGTAATGATGTCCCCATTATTGCAGATCTCATTCAGCAAGCAGAGCTACATCCTCCCAAAGTACTGAGGCCCACACACCCAGACAACTTTCCCCCCCAGAAAGTGACTGATACTCTTTTAGCCCACACCATAGAGTGCCCATGTAAAGTAGCCTCTTCAGGGCACAACATGGTCACCACAAGGGCTCAGAGTGCTCAAAACACCTTGAGAGAGTTACCATTTTTTGAGGAAGTATGGGAAATGGGGCCAGTTAAACCTTATTAAACCAAGGCTGAGAGAAGGAGGGACAAGATAAGAGGTTCAGCCAAGCAAACTGACACGTTTAAACCATTCCAGCTTCTAGATGTTAATCTTCCAGCTAATGTGGGTGAGCTTCAGAGACAGGATCCAACTTTGAAATGTTGGTTTAATAAAATCATAAAGGGGGATGGGAATGCGCAGGGCACTGCAGGGTTTCTTGAGGAAGCTACTTATGTAGTAAAACGGGGAATTTTGTATCAGTGTTAAGGGGATGTGGAGTCCTTAGCATTACCACAACAGTTCAGAGAGAGAGTAATGGAGCTGGGACACACAGTTCCATGGGCGGGACATATGGGATTTCAGAAAACACTGTGTAGGATTGCCAGAAGATTTGTGTGGCCAGGAATGTATACTCAAATATCACACTTCTGTAAGTCCTGTGTTAAATGTCAACTCACTTCAGGAAAAAAGATTCCACAGGCCCATCTTCAGCCCTTACCAATTATTGGTACTCCTTTTGAGAGAATAGGGATGGATGTAGTGGGTCCTTTAGAGAGAAGCTCAGCAGGCAACAAGTACATTCTAGTTATATGCAATTATGCAACTCGATATCCTGAAGCGTTTCCCCTGAGGTGTGTGAAAGCCAGAAATGTTGCGAACTGTCTGATACAACTGTTCTCCAGAGTAGGGATACTGAAAGAGGTTTTGACTGACTGTGGAACAAACTTCAGGTCTAAGCTGTTACAACAAGTCTACCGGTTGCTAGGTGTAAAGGGAATTAAGACCAGCCCCTATCATCCTCAAACGGACGGGCTTGTTGAGAGGTACAACCAGACTTTAAAGAATATGCTACGCAAGTTTGTTTCCACTACAGGAGCAGACTGGGACCAGTGGTTGCCCTATTTGCTGTTTGCCTACAGAGAGGTCCCACAGGCTTCAACTGGATTCTCACCATTTGAACTGCTCTATGGACGCCAAGTGAGAGGACCATTAGACCTCCTGAAAGACTACTGGGAAGATCCTGAATCAGCAGAGGAAAACATCGTGGCATATGTGGTCAAGATGTGACAGAGGTTGGAGGAGATGACAGCTCTGGCACAGGAGAGCATGAAGATGGCACAACAGAACCAGAAAAGATGGTATGACCAGAAATCTAAAGAGAGGGTCCTGAAACCAGGCCAACAGGTCTTATTGCTGTTACCAACCTCAGATAAAAAGCTGCTTGCCAAGTGGCAGAGTCCATATGAAGTGACTCGGCAAGTGGGTAAGGTCACATATGAACTGTTTATGCCTGACAGAGTGAAAAAACATCAGACATTTCATGTGAATCTGCTGAAAGAATTCCAGGGGCGTCAGAGACCAGTGCAGCAGCTCTTGATTTGTGAAGTTCAAGATGAGGAGGTGAAGGAGAAGTTTCTGCCCTCCGACGAAACACAGATCGGGGTGGTTGATCTGTCTCATCTGTTAGCAGTCCAGCAGGAGGAGGTTGCAGCCCTTCTGGATTCGGAACTCTTTTCAGAGGAGCCAGGTTTTACAGACCTGGTACAACATGACATCCGTCTCAAGGAGGATGCACCAGCTCGGCAGAGGAGCTACAGGATTCCTGAGCGGTTGGTGCCAGAGCTCAAGAAAGAGATCAACTTTATGTTGGAACTTGGCATCATTGAAGTATCAACCAGTGAATGGTGCAGTCCTGTGGTTCTTGTACCTAAAAAAGATGGTTCACTGAGGTTTTGTATTGACTTTCGTTATCTGAATTCTCTGTCTCAGTTTGATCCTTATCCTATGGCCAGAATAGATGATCTGTTGGAAAGAGTGGGAGGAGCAAGATACATTACTACACTGGACTTAAGTAAAGGATATTGGCAGGTGGCGCTAGCACCGCAGGCCCGCAAGCTCACTGCATTCAGAACACCATTTGGTATGTATCAGTTCAAAGTTATGCCATTTGGTTTATAGGGAGCACCTGCCACTTTTCAAAGACTTATGGACCATGTTTTGAGAAATGTGTCAGACTTTTCAGCAGCCTACTTGGATGATGTGGTTGTGTTCAGTCAAACCTGGAAGGACCACATGTTCCATGTACAACAAGTGTTGGGATGCATCAGAGCAGCTGGTCTGACCATCAACCCCCAGAAATGTGCCATTGCCCAGAGAGAGGTGGCCTATCTAGGCCACATCATTGGTTTTGGCAAAATTAGACCACAGGTGGGGAAAGTGGATGCTGTTCGTACTTTCCCTGTACCTACAACAAAGAAGAAGGTGAGGAGCTTCTTGGGCCTGGTTGGATGGTACAGGAAGTTTATTCCTCATTTTGCAGAACGCTCAGTTGTGTTAAACAACCTGATAAAGGGCAAGTCCACAAATAAGATCCAATGGACTGAGGAATGTAGCAAAGCGTTTGAAGATCTTAAAAATGCTATCTGCACAGACTCTGTTTTGCCCACCCCTGATTTTGAGAAGTCTTTTACACTGCAAACAGATGCTTCGGGAGTGGGTCTTGGGGCTGTTTTGTTGCAGGAAGTGGATGGAGAGATGAAGCCGGTGGTGTTTCTGAGCCGTAAGCTTCTGGACAGAGAAACTAGATATTCAACGGTGGAGAAAGAATGTCTAGCCATGAAGTGGGCCATCGAATCGTTGAGATACTACCTGCTGGGACGACATTTCTTTCTGGAGACGGATCACCGGGCCCTCCAGTGGCTGCATCGGATGAAGGATGCGAATGCACGGATTGCTGGATGGTACCTCGCTCTGCAACCATATAACTTCACTGTCCATTACAAGCCTGGAAAAACCAACACTGCAGCTGACTGTTTATCTAGGATTCCTGAAAGTTAAGGTACTGTGAGCTTAGGGGAAGGGGGGAGGAAATGTAATGAAGGTCTTCATTACTTGGTGGTACAACACTTAAAATGTGTTAAATGATAAAAGAAATGCATGATGAAGGAAATGAACCGGATACAAACTGATTGAAATGGTTTATTAATGGTGGTTTCGGTGGCATCTCAGCTGGAACTGATTATGTCCTGTTAAAATACAACAAAATGATGATATAAGTATTGATTGTTTAAAATGTTTGAAGGCTTGTATGGGTGTGGCTTACCTCTCTCTTCCTCTGCAGGGTGTTCAGGCTAAAACATTCCCCGGGGGCCTGAGTACCTTTTAAAGGTTCCGGAAGAGACCAAAGCAGACGGAAGGGGGGGAGCAGAGAGTTAGACATTTTATAAACTTAATGTTGGATTTGTATTTATATTGATAAAGATGTGTTTGTAGAGATGCTGAAAATGACTAGCATTGGCAATATATATTTTGAGGATTTTTGGTAGTTTGTCAAACCTTGTTTGTGTGTATGTATTTTGTTTTACCCTGTTTCTTGGTGGGTTTGTGTATTGGAACAGCCAACAGCTATAAAAGGCTGCATGTTGGCCATATTGAGTCGTTGCTGCTGAGACCCTAGGCCAAAATGAGCAGAGTTTGTTTTGTTTGTTAAATGTTGGTGAATAAACACCCAGTTGGGGCTGCACAGTTTCTCTGCCTCAAGTCTCCTACTTCCTCCAACCGCTAAAGGCCATTCTAACACTGAAACTTGTTAGATCAGTTACAGCAGATTTTAGGCTTTTGGTAATTTGTTACATAGACGTATATATTTTACGTTGCCTAATAAACATTTAATTTTGTCTGAGAAAGTAAATTGCAGCCATGCTGATCTGATATCTGAAGCATCTTGCTGCAAACACTGAAGGACCTAAACTTCCTTAGGAAGTACAGGCTTCTCTGTTCTTTCTTGTAGACGGCTTGACAGTTGTGTCTCCAGTCTAGTTTGTTATCCAGGTGAACATAAAGGTATTTATACTCCTTCACCACCCCCACTTCTTCTCCCATTATATGAATAGGATTCAACTTGTACCTGTTTCTTCTGAAGTCTACAGTCATCTCCCTCATTTTGTTGAAATTCAGGATATTGGTCCCACACTATCTCACAAAACATTTCACCGGCTCCTTGTACTCATCTTCTTGTCCTTCTTGATGCACCTAACAACTACAGAGACACCCAAGTATTTCTGTGGATGACAAGACTCTACTGAAAGTCAGGTGTGTACAGAGTGAAAAGGAATGGAGAGAGTACCGCCCCCTGTGGTGCTCCTGTGCTGCTGGCTACTTGATTAGACAGTTGACTGAAGGGTCAATTGTCAGGTAGCCTTTGATCTAGGCGATTGTTAATGCCTACACTTGAATCTTGTGGAGTTTTTCACAAAGTGAGGCCCCGTCCACACGAAGCCAACCCCTGGCCTAAACGCACAAATTTTTCACCAAACCAGCCTCTCATCCATACAAAGCCGGCGTTTAAGGGTCTGTAAACGATCTTTGATTTATTCAGCCTTCAGAGTGGGAAGATTATGAAACGCCGTTTTCGCGTTTCCATCTTTAAGCTCTAACCGCATTTTTTTTTTTACACGCATGCGTCATAGCGTCGCCTCTAAACACGCATGCGCGACACAGTATCACAACAACAATGGCGCCGTACTGTGTTGAATGGTTGCTGCAAATGCTACTCACCCTGCTGTCGGGCTTACAACAGAATCTTCTTCTTCTGGAATATCTCCAAGAAGAACAGAGCAATATCGACGACATAGTTCAGCACCTGAATTTGACTAAACCACGAAAATGGACCCGCAGGGCAACCATGTATAAATATTAGTGCGCATGCCCAACATTTCGTCACCTATTTTTGCTTTGTCACCACAGCGCCACTTATAGGCCTGGCATACATTTTGCAGCGTTTTCATGCATTCGTGTGGACGATCAAATTTATTTTATGTCTCCGTCTTTACGACAAACGTTCTGGAAAATATTAGCGTTTCGTGTTCGTTTTGACTTCGTGTGGACGGGGCCTAAGTCAGGGTGAATTGTGCTAAACGCACTGGGCAATAGAACAGGATTCTCACAGTGATGTCTGCTTTGTCCAACAACTGCTCCAGAGCGATAAGCAAACTGCAGGGGGTCCTGATAGCTGCTTGTTTGCTTGCTCAGTTGAAGCGACAGAAGTCTCTCTAGGACCTCTATTACCCCGTTTACACTACCTTGAGAAACCGTGTCGAGACTGGTCCGAGCTCAGTAACTGAGATATCTTATCGTGTGTAAATGTAAATGGAAAGCAAACTGAACTAAACCGAGCTAGACACAACCTAACCGAGCTAACTGCGGACCAGTTCCAGAGGTGGGCTCGGCTCGGTTTTTCCCTGGCTCGGTTCTCTGATAACAAGAGCGCATGAGCAGAACGCCTCATCTCCATCTGGCTGCCCATCCCGATTCACACTCCATTCCAGTAGTTGGCGGTAATGCCCCTCCGGAAGTTTTTTGCCAACCAACACAAAACAGAAGAAGAAGAACAACTAAGTTAAGGCGACTTTCTCAAGTAAATCCACGAAAGGTTGCCGTCTTCGCCTGACCCTCCTCAAACACCGAAGTACAGTAATAATATTAAGACATAACGAGATAGCATGATGTGTAAACGGTCGTCAGAACCAAGCTCGGCCTGGATAACTGATCCGAGCTCGGACCGGTCTCGGCATGGATCGGTTTTTCAAGGGTAGTGTAAATGGGGTATTTGATGTGGGATATCAGAGCATCAGGTCTATTGTCTTTGAAGATTTGTGGCTGAGTTTTCTTTGGAAGTGGAAACAGGCAGGAGGTCTTCCACATCAATGGAACTGTCTCCTTGGTCAGGTTAAAGGGCTAGTTATACTCCAGCAGCAGTGTGTCGCAGTGAGCTTATCGCTGGTATGACACACATATTTTTGATTTATGCCCAATATTGAAGTGTGGTCTGCATCCTGTTATTCCACACCAAAATGCAAGAGGAACAATCACAAACTAACTATGGGTCTAGATATGGCCGAGTTTGTGCGACAACGGAGGGACATCGAAACAGAGCAGGGATCCAGGTGGAAAATGGTCCCAGCGATCTCGTGCACCTCGCTCTTCTAGCTGGTCAAAGTCGTTTTCCACAATGGCGGTCATACAAACAAGCCGGTAAGGTACCAAACAGGAAATACGCATAGTGTAGAGCGGATGTAGATTTGACCAGTAAGAGGCCTCCTGTCTGGCACTGTCTGTGGTCACCTACAATTTAGGAGAGGTGCCCCAAAGTGTTTGCGGAAGTGGCGGGAGCATATCTGCGTTCATTGCGTCACACAAGCAGACGACCTGGTTTCTGAGTATAAATCTGCCTTAAGATTGAAGAGGTGCTGTAAAATCCCACAGAGCTGCTCTGCACAGACCTTCAGGACTCCAGGAGACTGATACAATCTGGACCTGTTGACATTAAAATTCAGTCTCTACAGTTCCCTCTTCCCTTGACTTGAGGAGACAGACAAGTGGAAAGCAGAGGAGGCATCGCCATTTTCTGACTAATAAACAGACACGCAGAGTTTTTACAACAGAATGCAACCTTGCCAACATAGCCATGTTTACTATAACAAGGTACATTTCCACCTTAAAACAAAATGGCCAACATTCTTGAAACATTAGTTGACCTGTTTTTAATCGTCAAAGGAAATTAAAGAAGCCATCATTTTTATGAACCAAACTGATGAGGTCCATTTGCCTTCATTTTTGCATCGTTATGTTCTGTCCAACATATATCAGATTATGAAACAACAGACATCCTGATTAGACAAAGATCATTTTGCTCAATAGAAACAAGCTATACATTTTCACCCTACTTTATGTGTAAAAATGACAACCCATTTTTATATTTATTTGACATACATCGCCAAGATGGTTGTCTAGCTCAAGTGGTAAGTCCCTCGTACTACAAAGAGGTGGCCTTTGTTTGTATCACAGCTGCCACTGTTGGCCTTAGGCAAGACCCTTGCTATTGCCTGCTTTGGGTGGCCTAGTGGTTAGGGCATTGCACTTGTAATCCTGAGGTTCTGAGTTCAAGCCCACTCCAACAGTGTCATGGTGTTGGTTCTGTTCCAGTTTTATCTCTGAGTTTTCATTTGTCTTGTTTCCATTTTTGTGTTCTAGTTATTTTTGATCTCCTTTTCCCTAGCTCCCTTTTTGCCTCTGTTCCCACCTGCTCCCAATCTGCTAATTAGCCTGGTCTTTGTTTCTCTCTCCCATATATTCTAATTACTATTCTAATTAATTGTTCAGTCACTCTTGGCTGGTTTGTTGTAATTTCTTTGCCTCCTTGTTTTAAGTATTCCCGTTTTTCAGTATTTTTTTATTTTTGTGGATTTATGTTTTTGGATTTTGCTTCTGTACCCTTTGTTTTGTTATTAAACCTTCAAGAAGTGTCTGCATTTGGGTCCTCCTTCAAACCTCCATCCCCACTTGACACACAGACTGCCACTGAGCAAACCCTTAACCACACACTGCTCTCCGGGCGCCGCACAATGGCACTGCTCCCCAAGGGGATGGGTCAAATGCAGAGAGTTCATTTTGTTGTTCTCTACTTGTGACAGTGCAAAGACAATAAAATACTGGGGGGGGGGGGGGGTTGGGGGGGGATAGAAAATAGGAATAGTAAGCACAATTAAACTAGTTTCACACATAATTTATTTTTGCCTGACCTTTTGAATCTTAATGTCACTTAAATAGAATCCGCATATCAACAGGAAGTAGGCTAGACAATCTCACATATTAATGGAGTTATTGACATTTTTATGTCTGAAAAACATCACAAAGCCAGTTATCATAGTCTTAATAGCCTTCTCACTTAATAAATAAAATGCTCAATAGAGCATGCACTTTGAACGCAATAATTTTTTTCTCTGTTTAATATTAAAAATGTATTATAAATTTTAAGAAGGATTCAATCTTAAAAGACGGCAAACATTTTTTTTTATACTTCTGTAAATGCAAATATATAATCAGATGAAGTAGAAGCTTTGCAACCTACTTTTAGATGCAGTTCATTTAGCTTAAAAGGTGTGAAAATGTTGACATGGTTTGCATTTGGTAAAGACTTAATTTCAGACTGGGTGACATACATTTCAGCACGTCGGATTGAGCCTGATTTCTATTGCTCTATGTTATGAAAACAAGAATGAGGGAAAACAGATAAAACTATCTTGATCTAAATGTTTGATGGCTGCTTTAGAATCTCCAAACAACTTCCCAAACCTT